AGAGGAGAAGATGTGAGAAAGAGAGGAAGATGGAACGAAGAGGAGAAACGGAGCTAGGAAAGTTGTAAAACAACGGGGGGAGGGGGCGAGAATTCCCCCGTGGGGGAAACGTTTGCCAATTTCCCGAATTTTCGTTTCGCTTTGAAGCTTGTCAACCTCGATAAAAACGGCCGTGGGAAGTTGGATCGATCCACGAGAAAGAATCCCGACGATCGAGGAACCGGTAATCCGGAAATATTCGTGTCACATCTGTACCGGATACATCACTTTTCTTAGGTGACGCTCGCCGCCGCGCCCGAAAACGCGAGTTTCCCCATTGCTCACGCGCTTCTGTTCCTCGTTCGATTGCCCCCGCGATTCCTGAAGATTATTTTCTTCACGGATATTCTTAGAGCTTGGAGAACGTTCTCCTCTATTTTCCTCTGTCGCGTCGTTTCACTTAATTACGATCTCGATCATTAAATCAGGGAACAGGAAGATCCGAGTCGAGATCGGAGTTCTAAATTGGTGAATTTCCTCCTTCGAGCATTTCTGTTCTGTTTCTCGAGTATTCTAAGTTGTACGTTGGAAATCGCGTTTGATCGGGATATTTAATTTATTTCTAAAGCAGAGCACGAACATTTCATTCAAAATTGTGACCAAATCTTTCTTTTGACCAGGGAGATTCAATCTTTAAAACTGCGAAAGATTTAAATCGAAATTGCAGTGTGATTTATTCGCGAGGGAAGCACAGTGGTGTGTGATTCCCCAATTCCTTCAAATAGCTATACCTACATATCATAATCCTCTTTGCGAACATTTCCACGACCTCTTTGCATATATATCCAATTACTACGACCTTAACAGTAATGCGACTTTAGAACAAAATAATTCCCATTTAATACGAGCTGTGTGTGTAATTATACTCGATTTACATATTCCCATATTTTCCTTACTTAAGTTATCTTGGCTTGGTCCTGTTCCGATTTACCATCTATAAATATCATATCTCCCTCTTAAAAAGATGTATCGAAATGAAACGTTAAACAGAATGAGAAAAAAAAAAAAAAATTTTCAGTGTGTGAAACATCCCCATCTTTTTGCCTACAGAAGAGAAGAATGAAAACTACCCCTAATTATTTCGTGGATGGATTACGTGTCATTGAAGGCGTACACGTTCGAACCAATTAGCAAACTGTCGCATCCTCCTATTAAGAAAAGTCGAGTCTCCATCTTTCAGGTTCAATTTTAGACGAGCAAGCTGTTGACCCAAAATGTCGCACGAGATTCGTTCCCGTGTGGTGAATCGGCGCAAACTCCTCGACCTGGAGCAGCAGCCACCTCAACGCGAAAGAGTCGGTTGCAATTAAAAAGTTTTGTTGCCCGCGTGAAAATGCATGTGCAACCGTGAGAGAACGCTAACGGCCAACTAACGAGTAGCTTTTTCCACCCATTTTTTAACCCCTTTCGTTTCTTCTTCTTCTTTCTCTTTCGATATTTATTCAAACCACGTTTATTATACGAGTTACTTGCCAGATATCTATCGAGCGTGATTGCTGTTTCGTATCTGTTTGTCTTAAATAAGTTGCACGTGTTTATTTGTCGATGATAGATATACAGATTAATGGTGGGAATAGTGAAGTGAAAAAAGATTAGAAGAAATCGAGAGAATTTCGAAAATTCGCTGTGTAACTTGTTCTGTGTACCAGCTTAATAGTAACTTACGAACAAATCACTTTTCTTATTTAATTCTTCCAGTTAAAAAAGAAAAAAGAAGGAAAGAGACAGAGAGAGCGAAAGTGAAGAGAGAAAAGAGGAGCGCGGTATAATTAGAACGAACAGGCTTACTGAATGGGAGTAATTAACGGAGAGCAAAAGATTCACGTCCGTTCGACGAAAGGATGAATGAAACGGCGCCGGTCGCTTCCCAACGAATCTTCCGCTGCTTCTCGATTTCTATAAATATTTCTCATCGCT